GGGGGAGGGGGGGGGAGGAGGCGGGCAGACCCCGTTTCTCTCCCCCGTCCCCCCCAGCACCACCCAAAGTGACCCAAGGTGGCCCCGGGGGAGCAGCGCCCCCTCCTCAGCCCCTCCTCGCTGCTGCTCAGCACCTCCTCCAGCTCATTCAACTCACTGCACAGGCAGAAAACTGCCCGGGGGGGAGGAGTATTTTTTGGTTATTTTTCCACCAGGTTAGGGATTGTACAGTGTTTAATGTCCCCAGCGTGTCCCACCCCGTGTCACCTCCGTCACACATCCCACACTAAGGAGAGGATGGGGAGGTCTCTCATGTCCAGCACTGTGTCACCTCCATCCCACGTTCCACACTAAGGAGAGGATGGGGAGGTCTTTTGTGTCCAGCACCGTGTCACCTCCATCCCACGTCCCACACTAAGGAGAGGATGGGGAGGTCTCTCGTGTCCAGCACCGTGTCACCTCCATCCCACGTTCCACACTAAGGAGAGGATGGGGAGGGCTTTTGTGTCCAGCACTGTGTCACCTCCATCCCACGTCCCACACTAAGGAGAGGATGGGGGGGATCCTCTCTTTTCCCCACAGCCCCCAAGTCTCCAGGGGAGAAGACTCGCTACGACACCTCGCTGGGTTTGCTCACCAAAAAATTCATCCGGTTGCTGAACGAGTCGTCCGATGGCGTTGTGGATCTCAACCGGGCGGCCGAGGTGCTGGAGGTCCAGAAACGGCGCATCTACGACATCACCAACGTGCTGGAGGGCATCCAGCTCATCCGCAAGAAGTCCAAGAACCACATCCAGTGGATGTAAGTGATGCTGGGGGGATAGACGTGGGACATGGGGATGGGGCAGGGTGGGGGACAGGTGGCTCGGGGACACGTCAGGTGTGCCATCACTCAGGTGCCATCTCTGCTGGCAGGGGGACGGGGATCTTTGAGGACGCGGCGGTGACGGTGAAGCAGCAGGCGCTGCGGGGGGAGCTGGCCGAGCTGGTCAGGACGGAGAGGGCACTGGACCAGTTCCTGCAGGATTGTGCCCTGCAGCTCCGGCAGCTGGCCGACGACGAAGCCAACCAGAGATATCCTTGCTGGGGGAGATGGGGAGGGAGGACAGGGTCGTGGGGACAGGAGACAGTCTTGGGGCCCCCTCTGAGCCCCTTCTCCTCCAGTTGGCTTCCCCCAGGCTGGGGGGGATGTTTGGAGGTGACTACCAGGATGGGGGGGTTGAGCCATCCCGCTCGTAGTCCCTCTTTTTTCCTATACCTCGTCCCCGTCCACGCTGGCGTACGTCACCTACCAGGACCTCCGTGCCATCAGCAACTTCCAGGAGCAGACGGTGATCGCCGTGAAGGCTCCTCCGGAAACGCAGCTGGAGGTACCGGACTTCAGCGAGGTGCGTGCGGGACCGGGGTCGGTGCCGGGATGCGGGTGCTGCCGTGCCTGCGCCATCCTTGATGGGTACATCGGTGGTGTCCCACGGGTGCAGCCCAGCATGGCCCTGGGTGGTTTTGGGGTGTCTCCGTGGGGCTGTGTTGACCCTGAGATGGTTCTTTAGGGGTTGCAGTGCCCTGCCTGGACCCTGCCTTGGTTGGGGGGTGGAGGGGCAGCGGGGTGGGATATGGGTGTCCTGGGTGTCCCCCCAGTGAGCTTTGCTCTGCCCCCCCCAGGACAACCTTCAGCTCCACCTGAAGAGCACCAACGGCCCCATCGAGGTGTACCTCTGCCCGGAGGAGATCGCGGAGGAGAGCCCCACCAAGGACCACAACGTTCCCTCCGCCGCCACCTCCCCACGGGACCACGGCGTACCCCCTTCCGCGCCGCACAGCCCCGGGCCGACCCCACAGCCGCCCCACGCTGTCCCCCAGAGCTGGGGGGGCACGGGAACCCCCTCCTCACCTCCATCTCTGCCTCTCAGCGTCTCGGGGGGGCCCAGCTCGTTGCTGGAGGTGGAAACCGGGCTGCTGGGCTCACCCCCGCACCTCCTGCAGCAGACGGAGGACCAGTTGCCCTGCGCCCCCTCCCACCTGGACTCGGGACCCTTCGTCACCTTCTCGCCCCCCCTGGAACAGGACGACTATCTCTGGGGGCTGGAGGGTGAGGGTGTCAGTGACCTCTTCGAGGCGTACGATCTGGGGGACCTGCTGAAGCACTGAGCCCTCCCCTCTCCCCATTGCCTTTGTCCCCTCCGGTCACCTGTGTCTCGAGCGCGTGAGGTCTCTGCGGGGCGGCCGGAGAGCTCGGGGTGGGTCAGGGGGGTGCTGGGTTTTCTAAAGGTGGTGGGGTCACTCGTGTTGACCACCCTGGGTGGTGTCTCCTCGCGCTCCTGAGTTGGTTGTCACCCGGGGGGGGGCCTGTGTTTGTCACCTCGCTGGGCTCCGGAGGTGCCCTGGGGAGGTGTAACCCCCTGGGAAGGATCCAACCAGGTCCCATCCCGGCTCCCCACCATAACCCCACCATCACCCTGGGGCTGCTGGTGGACTGGGGGTGGGTTAGGGGCACCCCTGGGGGGCAGAGAAACCCCTGCCCAGAATTGGAGGGGGGGTGTGTGTGTCATGTTTGGGGACCACTCCAGTTGCTCCCCAGTTAAGACTGGTTCTTTGGCCTCACGATGGGTCATTTGGAGCAGCGTTTCCCCGCGCTGCAACTGGAATCCAAAATCAGCGGCTCCAGCAAATCCCCGTCCAGTACATGGAGCCATATTTCCTGGGGGGCTGCAGCCCCTCTCCCCCCAGTCCGTACCAGCTCCCTCCAGCCTCTCGGAGCTATCGGTACTGGGAGTATCGAAATTGGAGTGTACTGGGAGGAGGGATGCTATCAACTGGTGGCTGGAGCATCACCTGTGGAGAGGGGCTTGGGAAGCAGCAACGGGACGAGCCCCCGGAGAAGGGGCTGGATACGGCTTTTAATTGTGCCATTGCGAAATATAAGTAATTATTGCACTGTATTTATAGGGGATCCCCCTTTCGGCACGGCGCTGGCGAGGGTCGGGTTGGTATTTTGATTTTTAAGGGAGTGTATTTAAGTTGTCCTTCCTCGGGTTGGTTCTCCTGCGGTTTGGCTCCGAGGCGGCGTGGGTGAGAGTGTGTTTTGGCGTGGAAAAAAACTTGTGGCACTTGATGTTTTCTGCCTGGGAGGGGATGGAATAAAATAAAATTTTGGAGTTATAAGGGGCTGTTTTCCTTTAAGCAGCAAAATGCTGGGGCGGTTTGGGAGGAGGGAGGTGTTTGGCTGGTTTCGCTCCTGTTTTCAGTGTAAAAAAAAGCCTGTTTTGGGGCCTTTTAACTGGCCAGCAGCTCTGGAGGAGCTGGTGGAGAAGGGGGTTGAGATGAATTTGTGGCTGGAGTGAGAGAAACGGGTCTGACCTGCTGCGGATCGGTGATTTCCAGTCCAAATCCGGCCGGGATGAGCCTTCGCCTGAGATTGAGCCCCTTGAACTGGGAGTGTGGGAAAAGCCCCGGGGGCCGGGTCCCTGCGGGTACTGGGGCTGGGACGGGTATGTGCATCCGGATTTGAGGGCAGGTTTGGAGGCTGCAAAGTGAGACCCTGGTGGGGTTGTGCCCGTGGAGGGTCTTTCACTGGGGGGGCTGCCCCAGGTCACCCATCCCTGCCAAGTTGTGCCATGAACCAGTGATGCCAACAGTGCTGGTGGCACAGTGATGGCTGGTGGTACCTGGTGATGTCTGGTCCACCTGGTGATGTCTGGTGGTACCCAATGATGTCCGGGGTAACTGGTGATGCCCAGTGGTACCTGATGATGGTCAGTGGTGCCCAGTGATGTCTGGTGGGACCTGGTGATGGTCAGTGGTACCCAGTGATGTCTGGTGGGACCTGGTGATGGTCAGTGGTGCCAAGTGGTGCCTGGTGGTACCTGGTGATGGTCAGTGGTGCCCAGTGATGTCTGGTGAGACCTGGTGATGGTCAGTGGTACCCAGTGATGCCTGGTGGTACCTGGTGATGGTCAGTGGTGCCCAGTGATGCCCAGTGGTACCTGGTGACGGTTAGTGGTACCCAGATGGGTCATGGCGCACGTTGCAACGCTCGGCTGGTGGAGCAGAAGAAAAGGAGGAGGAAGAAGAGGAGGAGGAGGAGAGCGCCGGGTCAGGTAAACCGGGTGAGGGGCACAGAGTGCTGTAGCCACGGTCCTGTCCCCATCCCCCGTGGGGCTGCGTGTCCCGGAGCCGCTGGGGGATGTCCCCGGGTAGTGTCACCCCACCACCACCCCACCCCCCCGCAGTCCCCAGGCCGGCCAGGAGGTGGCAGGGCCACCCCAGCAAAGGGGCTGTCCCCAGCCCGGCGCCCGGAGGGACCCCGCGGTACCCCCGGCAGAAGTGGGGTGTCTTGGGCGGGG